AAAGGCGGGATCCAAGAGTCAATGCTCGATCCTGCAGACACAACTAGGTGAGTACAACTAGGTGAGTACACACACGGGTGTCTGGTGGCTGAGTGGACAACTCTCTTGATTTGTGTTCCTGTGGACCGGGGATCGATCCCTGGCAATGGCGGAAACAAATAGCAGAGTTTCTTTCAATCTGATGCCCCCTGTTACCTAGCAGTAAATAGGTACCTGTGAGTTGCTGTTATGGGCTGCTTCCTGTATGTGGGGGGGGGGTGTATTTATTGTTGTGATTTTATATACATTTTATTAATGCGCTTCTCAGTGCAGCGTTGAAGTACATTGATAACAACAGAGCCAATGATGCCACATATATTTGTTCATGCATTACTGGTGTGCGGATTGGTTCAGGTCTCTATCTTGTTTGCTGAACGTTATTTTTGTTCAACTGAAATAACGCTACAATGATTATGTGGGGGAGGGGAGGAGAGGGAGGGAGGGGTGAGGGAGGAGAGGGAGGGGGTGTGAGGGAGGAGAGGGGGGGGGTGTGAGGGAGGAGAGGGAGGGGGTGTGAGGGAGGAGAGGGAGGGGGGTGAGGGAGGAGAGGGAGCCAGCGTGAGGGAGTGAGAGGGAGCGCGTGAGGAGGGAGGGAGCCAGCGTGAGGGAGGGGAGGAGAGGGAGCCAGCGTGAGGGAGTGAGAGGGAGCCAGCGTGAGGGAGGAGAGGGAGCCAGCGTGAGGGAGGAGAGGGAGCCAGCGTGAGGGAGGAGAGGGAGCCAGCGTGAGGGAGGAGAGGGAGCCAGCGTGAGGGAGGAGAGGGAGCCAGCGTGAGGGAGTGAGAGGGAGCCAGCGTGAGGGAGGAGAGGGAGGGAGCGAGTGTGAGGGAGCGTGAGGGGGAGCCAGCGTGAGGGAGGAGAGGGAGCGAGCGTGAGGGAGGAGAGGGAGCGAGCGTGAGGGAGTGAGAGGGAGCCAGCGTGAGGGAGTGAGAGGGAGTGAGAGGGGGGAAGAGTGAGAGGGGGGAAGAGTGAGAGGGGGAAGAGTGAGAGGGAGCGAGTGTGAGGGAGTGAGAGGGGGGGAGTGAGAAGGGGAGAGTGAAAGGGGGGGAGAGTGAGAGGGAGCGAGTGAGAGGGAGCGAGTGTGAGGGAGTGAGAGGGGGGAGTGAGAGGGGGGAGAGTGTGAGGGAGTGAGTGCATCACAGCTGGGGACCGCTCTTACCATGATTACTGGGACACGTGGTACCAGAAGGGGGGGGGGCAGCCACACATGGGGCGGGAAGACACACAGGCTGATAACTAAAGAGGAGACGTCACGGTGGAAAAGATACAGAAAGAGAATAAGAGACGAGAGATAAACAAGGCAAGAGAATAACGTGTGGATGACACACACTCAGATTAATAAGATGAGAGACACGAGTAAAAGAATGGGAAGGATTGAGAGAGAGAGAGAGAGAGAGAGAGAGAGAGAGAGAGAGAGAGAGAGAGAGAGAGAGAGAGAGAGAGAGAGAGAGAGAGAGAGAGAGAGAGAGAGAGAGAGAGAGAGAGAGAGAGACACACAAAGGCTAGGGAGAGGACAGCATCTGGCTGGACGGTAACAGGTGGAGTGAGAGACCTTGTGCCTCCTCCTCCCCCCCCCCCAACACACACATGGCTCAGCCACACACATGGCCCAGCCACACACCTGCACCTGGTCCACCCCCCTTCCACACACCTGGAACATGTTACCTAAGGCCAAAAACTGATATACAAAAAAATGGTAGCGGCTCGCGAAATTGACATAATAGCCCGTTTTCTGTTGGTGGGTCGTCTGGTTGGTTAGGTTAGGACACTTGAGTGCGGCAGTTCCTTGACGCTGGGAACGCTAGCGAGAACGGCGAGAGTCATCACCCGTTCCCACCCCTGAACCCGCCAACCTCTCAACCCCGGGGCCATTTTATTACCCCAAACAACTTAATTAACCTTTCAACGTAATACAAAATAAACAGTGTGCTATCTGCCGTTATATTTTCTCCGGGGACTCAAGGATGACGTAAAACAACGTTAAATCGACGTACGATACACGTTTATCTTCACCATATTGTTCCTGTTGATATATGATGATTCGGATATAGGTTGGCAAGGTTTGGTTAACTATATGATTGCTATATCCGACTTGGATAACTCCTGGCTATCCTGTTTTCACTTGTATATCATCCTCAAGACTTTTTTTTTTTGGGGGGGGGGGATTATGTCCAGGGGAGGGCGTAACTGATTTACATCTCGATCGCCATGGACAGCAGAGTCAACCAGGCAGTTAGAGTCGTCTGGGCAGACAGAGTCGTCTGTCCAGGGGAGGGCAGACAGAGTCGTCTGGGCAGACAGAGTCGCCTCTCCCTTTTAATCTTCCTCATTTTGATACAGTTATGAAAACTGCAATAAGAAAATGAGCGGCTGAATTATTATTTTGGTACACAGAATAGGAGAGCTCCGACGGAGTAAGAGAGCACCGGAAGTGGAAGAGAGCGCCGGAACCGAGTGTAAAAGAGTAAGAGAGCGCCAGGAGAGCAGAAGAGAGCGCCGGAACCGAGTGTAAAAGAGTAAGAGAGCGCCAGGAGAGCGGAAGAGAGCACCAGGAGAGCGGAAGAGAGCACCAGGAGAGCGGAAGAGAGGACCAGGAGAGCGGAAGAGAGCACCAGGAGAGCGGGAGAGAGCACCAGGAGAGCGGAAGAGAGCACCAGGAGAGCGGAAGAGAGCACCGGAAGCGAGTGTAAAAGAGTAAGAGAGCGCCAGGAGAGCGGAAGAGAGCACCGGAAGCGAGGGCAAAAGAGTGAGAGAGCGTAAGAGCGGCGGCAAGTGCGGAGCGTCCTGGGTCAACTATTGATCGGCATGGCTTCAGGCGACATTTTTCTGCCATCAACAACTTACTCGCGAAGTGAGAACTCACAATGCACCAGCTCGCGGGCGAGTCTCGTGTGGCGGCCAGCCTGTCAATGGCGTACAAAGAACAAAATACCAGTAGGCAACAATGAAAATATTGCCTGTGAAATTAGCGACCGACTTGTTGAGAGACGTCAATACCATTTACTTTTGTAGTTCTGTAATTAACTTTGTATGAAAGTGTGAAACAAGTGGTGGCAGAGGGGAGGGGGGTGTAGGCAGTAGCGGAAGGCCGCCCCCCCCTCCTGTACCATCTGGTTGAAACAGCAGTTCGTCCACCACCCAAATGTTGGCTGTGTACCCAACATGTCAACCACACCCCAACACTTCTGCCAACCACTTCCCTCGACCAGCCCTCCTCGCAGTTAGCGTCAATTACCGCTCCAGACGTATCAGCATCATATTATCTTGACCATAAACGCCATTTTTGGTTGACAACTGTAATGGTTAGCCATGTGTGTGGTTGGATCAGTGGGCAGAGAAGGGTTGACAGTTGTCGGGTTGGTAGGCTTGACTTTGCCAGGGGAGGTACGCGCCCGCCGCTATCCAGCACAGATGACTGACCACGCTGCAACGTGAGTTCCCACAGTCTCTAAAATTTAGGAAACTCGTTAGTAGTGGCCACGTGTCCCTTCCCCCCTTCCCTACCCACTACCTTGAGGTAGTGGGTAGGGGAATGCACAATCAGTGCAAACATCAGGTACTGGGTGAGGAACAACTGTTCAGTGCCAGTGTTGAAATGAGGCACTGGGTGAGGAACAACTGTTCAGTACCGGTATAGACATGAGAGAGCCACAAATCCACAAGAGCCGTGACGAGGATTCGAACCTGCGTCTGGGAGCATCCCAGACACTGCCTTAATCGACTGAGCTACGACAGGGTAAAAAGAGTTCAAACCGAAGTTCTACTGAACTTATTTGTTCATTTGATGCATCACGTTAGTGTGATTACTGTGTGTAATGAGAGAGCCACCTACAGCGTGAGGCACAACTAATCAATGCCGGTACAGACACGGGGTAACGAAATGTATTCACATTTAACCCTATTTTTTTTCCAAGCCTGTAGCCTCCACTATTCTCTCTCGTCAATTATTCCTGAATGTGATCCAGCTCTGGCAGTTTTCAAACTAGCGCCAGTATGACGACAGGCTACTTAGTAACGACATAATAACACCTTATTTACACCTGTACACAGAATGTGTTACAAATTCGAAATTTATGAATGGTGGGCGTGTTTGCGTAGCCCGGAATTACCAACCATTCATCATGTGTGTACCAAGTGTTGCTTGTGGCTTCAGTTAGCTAATTCTGAGGTTGTATAGCCATTTTATATATATATATATAAATTAATTTGTTTAACGACTTGCAACTAGAGTGAATAAGCGCAAGCAATGGCACCTTTTAACAAAATAACTCATGTTGGCAAGCTTGGTGGGGGGGGGGTGTAACTGTTCCCATTATCTGAGAGAATACCCATCCCAGTGTTGCCAAATTTACTTCCGCCGAAACAAAATGTTGTCACGGGTGACTGGTAATGCTGTGCGCCATATCGAGAGCAACCACTGACAGAAATGAACCAAATTAGGTTCATTGCATTATTGTAACGTGATGCGGATATAACCACAGTCACAAGCTAAATTTATACCTATTGGGGCAATTATGGTTGATTGTCATGCAATTTGTATCAGTAACATTGAGTAAACCTATGTAGAGCTGTAGCAGAGATGCCAAGTCGGTGTTTAGCTCTTCCTGTACGGCTGCTTGTTATTGCTACTCTCACAAACGAACGCTATTTTTAGCGTAATATGTATTTCACAATACATAGTTCAATGATAGATATTAATTTGCGTATTGGACTCTTCGAACTAATTTATAATACATTAAGTGTTAGTCTAGCCAGTAGTTTCTGTTGTAGTTCACATGTCTTTGTGAAAATTAAGTAATATGTTATGTATCACAAGTAAATAAAGCGCTGTGGCTAGTTGCTACAGCTAAGATTTAACACCCTTTTACTTTTGTATATAACTGTACACAGCTATCTGCTTTTGTATACCTAACACCTGTTTTCCTTTGCATGATTAACATCAGTTTTCTTTTGCACTTTGACAGATGCGACGAGACGTGACCAAAACCAGCAGCAGAATGAACGGACCAATATCGCATACGCTGCCGGGGAGCACGTGAGTCCCGCAGCCTGCCTTGCTTACCTCAAGCCCTCGCCGCCCCCTGCACCACCGTCTGCCGCCTCGCCTCACCTCCCCCACGGGCGCCAGGGCCTCCCCCACGGGCGCCAGGGCCTCCCCCATGGGCGCCAGGGCCTCCCTGGGGCCCAGCAGCAACCATCTGGCAGAAGCGTCAGGGTACACGCCTCACCTGGCTTCGAGTACTACATACACAAATTCTGCCCTGCTGGTGGCGTGTTTGCCGAGGAAATTCCACAAAGTAGCCAGCATTGGGAGTGCAGTCATTTGGTTGACCATCCTCTCAATTGCCGTTTCAATGAACAATTCCAAGTTGTAAAGATATATTTTTACTTTTACGGTGTTACAAATATCCCCCCACCACCCCAAAATAAAGACAATGGATGATCAGGTCCTGGGAGGTGCAGAGCGACACAATCTCGTCTCGCCTGTTAATATATTGTTGTTAGACTTTTATGTTAGTAGCAATACGACACGGGCCGTGTGGGGACGCACTAAACCTGTCATCAATCTTGTATGTTCCTGTACTTCATTATTCCTGTTTCTTCATAATCTTGTACGCTTGTGTGCCACGATGATCTTTAAATACACACCATGAACCAAAATGTAATACACACAACCAAAACATGACTAAACAGGTTGTGTGTGAGTGGGTGGGTGAATGAGTGAGATGTATGAGGGTCCGTTTATTTGTTTCAACTTGGCAGAGCAGCTGACATGTCCTTTTGGAGGGAGGGAGGCATTCCACACTCTGAAAAATTCGCATTTCAGCAATGAAGATTAGCGACTGCCTTTCCAGTGTTGTTTTGTAAACTATCCAATCGAGAGAAGAAGCCTTGCTACACGGAAGTGTTAAGTGGCGAGGACATCTCTACCATGACTTTCTCAACATGATCAGGTCATGTGGGATAAGCCCCTTCTCCGTGCCTCCCTCCCCCAGGTCGTCTGGCTCTCCCCGGCCACATGGCCCACAACTGTCTCTTGCTGGTGCGAGGCAAAACAAGACTACAGTTGGGTGGACGGTGACACATGGATGCCGTCTGCTTCACCTACCGTTGGGGCCACATGGCCGGCTTCTACTTTTGTCTACATAGACACCTGCTGGTTCGCCTCTCTCGGCGTAAGAGGCACCCCCCGCTTCTTGCCCCTTCCTCGCTCCCTCTACAACATACGACAGTCATACATCAAACTTTAATCATTTTCCTTGATATTCTAGTGTATAGAACCAATCTTGTCACATCGATACCTGTTTTTCCTTTGTGTCAGCTTTTTCTGTCTATCAAGTCCCAACAGCTAAATAGCATAAGGTGGACCTGTTTCCATCGTCCACGTTATATATGGGAACTTGCTTTTCTTATCCCTCCAAGTACGACACATGGGGGACTAATAAACCACTGGGGAAGCCAGAGCCAGGAGGCCATATGGTTGCCAACTGGCGGACGCGAGGTGCTGCTGCCGTGGACCGGACAGATGGCTCTCCAGGGCGTCAGGTCCACAGGGAGGAGGTTCACTAAGGCGCTGCATGTGGCTCTCCTACCAACCCCCCTCTCCACCCTTCTGCCCTCAACCACCATCATCATACATCCCTAAAATAAAGTTCTCCACCCCTTAATTAAAAAACAATAACCGTAAAACGAATATTTTTATATGGAAGTTCTTGTAATTTGTTAATAGTGAACATATTGCCTCGCTACTAGCCATGACAGCACCAAATGACAATTCCGCCTCGCACTAACAGTTAGGGTGAACACATGGCCCAAGTCCACGTCTCATGCTATAACTGCAATGTGTGTATTTAAAGATCATTGTTTCCTAATTCTTTATGTCTTATATTACACCAAAGAACTCTATTGTAATGTTTTGTATTTAGACTTTTTTTTTTACTTTTGCATTGTAAGGTATTATACAGTATCATATAAATGCAATGTGTGTATAGAGTGTATGATAACGTCAAAGACAGCTTTGACAGGGAGGTGTGTGTGCTGTTGATGTGCTGGCAGCGGTGTTGTTGCCTCTCCCAGCATCGTCAGCTGTTTGCAAGTGTTTAGGTCAGGTGTTCGGTAACGTCACAGCTGCCCCGTAAGGTGACACCTGTGAACCACAGCTGCGTCTCACAGCTTACAACACCACAATACCACTAAGTCTTGGCAACTTAGATTCGCCGAGTGTGATGTTTTTATTCAACAAACCGCATGTGACTTCAACATCAATGTTCATGATTCACTCTCACAATCTTCCCTTACCAAGCCTTATAATATGGTTAAAATCATGACGATAATGGACATGATGGTACACGGTGACGGAGCTGCAGCAGCTCCGTCACCGTGTACCAGCCTTCACTATCCCCAAGCCTGACGGTGACTCTCGACGGTGACCCCTGCAGCTGTCGCCTATAACCCCCCTCAGTATAATCCTAGAATACCTGTGCACTGTACTAGTCTACCCGAGTGTCAGAAGGTCACGTATAGTTAGGTGGCCCCTTCGTCGCCTCGTGAGGAGTGTTAATAAGCCACACAGGTGACCCGGTAACTTTAGGTCACCTTCAGTAAGTTGAAGGTGACGGGAAATTACAATTTAATTTACAATTAGCGCACGGCTAACATCACCCCCACCCCCTCTCCTACCCCCCTACCAACACCCCCCCAACAGTAGTGATTAAGTGCACTAGGCATAATGCCTTTTATATAATATACATATACACAAACACATACACACACCCACACTTATATATATCTATACACGTGTGTGTGGGTGTATACCGAATGAGGGCAAAGATGTGGCAGTCTTATGTATACTTATGACTGTACTACCATTAGACTGGTCAAACGTCGCAAGTGATAACACCATTAGCTCCTATGGACGGTAACACAATATATGCACTGTTGCCAAAGAGGGGTCCAGGTTTTGTACTTGTAGAGGGCCCGAAAAAGATGGTAACAACCAAACCTATCATTTCCTAGGCCTCATTATTTAGGCCTAGGACAGCAGGTTCATGGTTAGTTTATTTCACTTTTGAAATTCTAAAGGGTAATACAATAGTACAAAACTAACTTGTTCAAGGTACAACAGTACATAATACAGGAACGTAGCATCATAAGAATTATGGAGACTGCAGAAGGCCTATATTGACCCGTAAAAGGCAGTTCTTATTTATATCCAATCAAACTCATTCATATATATGTCTAATGAACTAATCAGATGATACTATGTCAACGTAGGATTACCTACGTCAATTATAACAATAATTGTTATAACTGACGATAATCTGTTCCACAAACTTTGTATATTCCATCCAGAGCACTTGGATTGGTTGGTACAGCGACGGCCTTGCTTCATGCAGGTCGGCGTTTGATCCCCGATACTCCAAGTAGCTGGACACCGTTCATTCCCTCCATCCTATCACAGCTCCTTGGCCTCCTATCCCTTCCAAGAGCGATATAATCGTAAAGGCTAAGCGCTTTCTCCTGATAATTACCACCCATAGCAGCTATATGTTCTATCACTTCTAGATGATGGGTTGAACCATTCACCCCAACCACTGCTGATAACGTATAACGGCTCGTTGTCAAAACCCACCAATTATTTGACCCTTAAACGTGAATGAGTTTTAATGCTTTATTTAAACACTGTTTTACAAATTTCTCGTTAGGTGTTGCACTTTAAATCAACTATGTTTATTAAACAAATACGAAGTTATGCTTTTGTATATATATCCTTTATCTGTTTGAGGACTCTGTTGGTTATAATGTAAATATCTAAAGTTAGGAGCCACACCTCACGAGGCGTTAGTCTCTCATTAGTATATCATGTCTTGTAATAAAAGGTCTTTTTTAATTACCTAGTCTAATTTACCTTCTTATCACCACCTGCTTTTATTATAATTTCCCAAATTTTACGCATGAATTCAGTATTAGGTTTGGTGTTGGGCTTAAAAGCCTATCAACCTCCGTAGGCTTGTTCAGGCTATCATAATAACTTACTGACCCACTATAAAGTTTAATTTAGTTCTGAACATGATCCAGGATTAAAGTAAACTCAATGTGTATTTATATATACACAAAGAAATGTTTTGAGAAATACAACACTAGCCCCTGGAGTTAGTGTGGTATTGAATGAATCTATAACAATTGAATTATGCATAAATAGGTTTGCTGTACTCTATTAGAGATTTGAAACCAAAAACCTTACTAAGATCAGACCAGGAAGGTAACAATAGAATTCCTATGTTTATACCATGCCTGAAGTTGCAACATTGCGTTGCTGACATTGCAGGAATCCTAAATAAAAGCGCTGTCCAGAAATAAAAGTTCGTCCCTAATACGGTGTTTAACTCCCTGAGGCAAACATGCTAGCGTGTGAACAGCAGTGCCAAAACAGACCTCGGATGAAGACATGACAGCCACCTTCAACATTCCAGAAAAATGCAAGTCAGACAATACATATTTTTTGTTTATACTTTTGTACGAACTAAAAAATTCTTATTGGCACAGATTTGATGCTTTGTTTAATGAAATATGTTTGCAGTTATTCCTGACACGAGTTAATGTTTTCCGCATGAGGATGATAGCAAGAGCCTTGAGCTGTAAATGATTTATCAAACAAAAATGCATTCAGAGACAAAAGTTCCGCTCAAATAGAAATTGTATATAATAATTATACCACCAGCAAGTGCTAATTGCGCACTCTTAAATCTTGCTTAAAAAATGGTCTGCACACATTGTCACAAGTTAACGATTTTCTGTCTTTTTAGCGACGCGTATAGATAAACGATACATCTTTAATGAACCTAAAACTATATCAGACAATCCAGTGCACAATAGGTCTGTGCCTAATAAGTCTGAATCCCAATAGTCCCATGCCAAATGGGCCTGTATCTAAAAGGTTAGTGCCCAATAGGCCTGTATCTAAAAGATTAGTGCCCAATAGGCCTGTATCTAAAAGGTTAGTGCCCAATAGGCCTGTATCTAAAAGGTTAGTGCCCAATAGGCCTGTATCTAAAAGGTTAGTGCCCAATAGGCTTGTATCTAAAAGGTTAGTGCCCAATAGCCTTGTATCTAAAAGCTTAGTGCCCAATAGGCCTGTATCTAAAAGATTAGTGCCCAATAGGTCTGTATTTAAAAGGTTAGTGCCCAATAGGTCTGTATTTAAAAGGTTAGTGCCCAATAGGTCTGTATTTAAAAGGTTAGTGCCCAATAGGCCTGTATCTAAAAGGTTAGTGCCCAATAGGCCTGTATCTAAAAGGTTAGTGCCCAATAGGTCTGTATTTAAAAGGTTAGTGCCCAATAGGTCTGTATTTAAAAGGTTAGTGCCCAATAGGTCTGTATTTAAAAGGTTAGTGCCCAATAGGTCTGTATTTAAAAGGTTAGTGCCCAATAGGCCTGTATCTAAAAGGTTAGTGCCCAATAGGCCTGTATCTAAAAGGTTAGTGCCCAATAGGCCTGCATTCAAACAATTCCGCGCCCAATAGGCCTGCATCCAAACAGTTCAGCGCCCAATACCCTCTATATATAACATCGCTATAATCCTTTGGTTTGTTTAGGATTCACTGGGAGAGATGTAAAAGAGGTGATTGTTAATGACAGTTTCAGGTCGTTTCTTTCTCCAAATCAGATTTAATTTAAAATAACTATACTATTCTAGCATATCCTAACTTGCCTAAACATATCAGCTAACATTCTAACCTATCCATATTAATCTAACCTAACCATACTAGCCTAGCATGGTCTGACTTCACAAAGTCACTCGTATCCTTGCCAAACCTTCACATAACCAGATATAGTCTAACCTAATGTGGCCAGAAAGTCTAATCTATGACTTTAGTTCCCAAGTCTGCATTCCACAATAGCCGCCCAACCAGCAAGTATATATTTACCGCTATGTGAATGGAGACGCCAGATGTAAGAAAACGCTCCCAATATCCTGGGAACCATACAATAGAATTTTTGGTTTTCAAACCACTGCATTTCCACGCCGCAGAACGTAACTTAGAACGCAAGAAACCAAATAATCAATTTAAAAACCATGAACAAATACAAGCAATGCTGATGATGCTTACAAGAAGATTAATAACAAACAGTCATACTGAAAATAATAAAATTATATATCCTAATAATAACTAATGAGTTCATCGGCGTCTAGAGAATTAAAATGAACATAAAATGTCAAAATATACATATAACGGTGCAAGTATTAATGACTAGTGCAGTGATCACGAGAATATTGATGCCTAGTGCAGTGATCACGAGAATACTGATGCCTAGTGCAGTGATCACAAGAGTATTGATGCCTAGTGCAGTGATCTCGAGATTATTGATGCCTAGTGCAGTGATCACGAGTATTGATGCCTAGTGCAGTGATCACGACAACACTGATCCCTAGTGCAGTGATCACGAGAATACTGATGCCTAGTGCAGTGGTCACGAGAATACTGATGCCTAGTGCAGTGATCACGAGAATACTGATGCCTAGTGCAGTGATCACGAGAATACTGATGCCTAGTGTAGTGATCACGAGAATACTGATCCCTAGTGTAGTGATCACGAGAATACTGATCCCTAGTGCAGTGATCACGAGAATACTGATCCCTAGTGCAGTGATCACGAGAGTATTGATGCCTAGTGTAGTGATCACGAGAATACTGATCCCTAGTGTAGTGATCACGAGAGTATTGATGCCTAGTGTAGTGATCACGAGAATACTGATCCCTAGTGCAGTAATCACGAGAATACTGATGCCTAATGCAGTGATCACGAGAATAATGATGCCTAGAGCAGTGATCACGAGAATACTGATGCCTAGTGCAATGATCACGAGAATAATGATGCCTAGTGCAGTGATCACGAGAATACTGATGCCTAGTGCAGTAATCACGAGAATACTGATGCCTAGTGCAGTGATCACGAGAATAATGATGCCTAGAGCAGTGATCACGAGAATACTGATGCCTAGTGCAGTGATCACGAGAGTATTGATGCCTAGTGCAGTGACCACGAGAATAATGATGCCTAGTGCAGTGATCACGAGTATTGATGACACACACAGGGTGTCAACACCCCCCCCCCCACCTCCCCCCCATCAGCTAGGGGTGTTGTAGCGGAAACAGTAATGACAGTGTATGGGGGCCGGACGAGAGGCCCAGCCCAGGACAGGTGATAATTACCTCTCAAAACATGGACACGGGTTCCAGGCCACCACGCCTCCCTTTATGGTAGCCAGTAATGATGACAGTCTAGGTGTTGACCTTATCATCACTGCGGATACATATATATACTAACAATTGTAACGAGAGAGAGCGTCCTCAGCATCCCTATCTGGTTACAATTCCGAAAACGTCAGTTTGCACTTACCTCATGGCCGTCTGACTTTGACACAACAGCAACGTTTCCTCGTGAAAATAGTCCTTTATTTATAATTGACTCGTACAATATGTTTTCTCGTATGTCCACAATACCGTCAAAAGTGTTTTTTGTAGGAAGCACATGCTTATATTCATTTAGTGGTCACTGGAAGGGCTAAAATAAGAGGACCGCGATCACTATCCGCACCACACGACAAGAAAGTCAACAAACAAGGCGCGCGACACATTATTGGAACTCTGTAGTGCTCACCTCTCCGTTTGAATTCCAACTCTCTTTAAGTAGTATTCTAGACCTCCAAAGGCGTTTTCATCAATTTTAACGTACTTTGTAATCAAAATCATAATTTTATCAAATATAAACTATTGCGTGTGAAGTTTAGCTGGATTAAGTTAGCTGCTTCTTTCTGTGGGCAAATAATTGTAGTATGTTCAACCTGTCCTCAAAGACACCTTCATCAATGTTCACGTATTGTATATTAAAAAAAATATTTATTAGTATTGTTATATTAGAGCTCTGTGTTAAAATGTGTAAAATGTATATCTCTGTGTAAAAACCTGGTTTGTGCCTCGGAGAGGCTACGGGATCCAGTAAGTTCAGTAGAACTTCGGTTTTAACTCTTTTTACCGTGTCGTAGCTCAGTCGATTAAGGCAGTGTCTGGGATGCTCCCGGACGCAGGTTCGAATCCTCGTCACGGCCCTTGTGGATTTGTTATATATACATGTACACATACTCATACATACATGTACATACATACATACACACACACACATATATATATATTATATATATATATATATATATATATATATATATATATATATATATATATATATATATATATATACATATTAATATATACATATTAACACCATTTGAGGCATGTCATCAGCTGTTAAGCCTTCAACTCTCCCCATGCCCTGTGGTTGGGAGGACGGGGATCTATGAAAACCTGCCTCCCCCGAAGTGGCCCAGGGGAAGGGACAAAATAACATTAAATTCTGGCAAAATAACATGAAATATCTTTATTAGAAAAGATTAGAAAAATAATAATAGGTAAAAAAAGGTTTAAACAAAAATAAACTCATTTCTGTTTGCGCCAGGGTTGCCAACATTAGTTTCTGGGTTGCGCTAAGTTGCCAACACTAGACGCTGGACTGCGCCAGGGCTGCCAACACTTGACTGCACCAAGGCTGCCAACACTCGACTGCACCAAGGCTGCCAACACTCGACTGCACCAAGGCTGCCAACACTGGACTGCACCAAGGCTGCCAACACTGGACTGCACCAAGGCTGCCAACACTCGACTGCACCAAGGCTGCCAACACTCGACTGCACCAAGGCTGCCAACACTCGACTGCACCAAGGCTGCCAACACTCGACTGCACCAAGGCTGCCAACACTGGACTGCACCAAGGCTGCCAACACTCGACTGCGCCAAGGCTGCCAACGGCTGACTGTAAAAGTGTAAGCATGTC